CACACCATGGCACTGAGAGAGTGTCCCGCTCCGGGCTACACCAGCCCACACCATGGCACTGAGAGAGTGTCCCGCTCCGGGCTACACCAGCACACACCATGGCACTGAGAGAGTGTCCCGCTCCGGGCTACACCAGCCCACACCATGACACTGAGAGAGAGAGTGTCCCGCTCCGGGTTACACCAGCACACACCATGGCACTGAGTGAGTGTCCCGCTCCAGGTTACACCAGTCCACACCATGGCACAGAGAGAGTGTCCCGCTCCGGACTACACCAGCACACACTATGGCACTGAGAGAGAGTCCCGCTCCGGGTTACTCCAGCCCACACCATGTCACTGAGAGAGTGTCCCGCTCCGGGCTACACCACCCCACACCGTGGCACTGAGAGAGTGTCCCGACAATCTCTGTAACCACGCTGCCTCTGAAAAATCTGCTGCCTCTCCAGAACCCATCGAAGCCACCTGCTGCCAAAGTGCTCTCTTTATGAGGTAAGTGTGACGGACAGGAAAGGGATAAAAGGAAAAAGAAGCTAAGAAAAACTCGGACGAGGAGGACAACCTGGGCACAGGACCCCGAATGCTGCTACTCCGCTGCTGCCATCTTGTAAAACTTTAATGATTTGGGTGCGGTGACCCTTCCTCAACCTCTTCAGATTGTGAAGCCACTCCCATTCCTTCCCTTTCTTTTGGCTTTACTTGTTACAGTCTCTGTCACTAAGTCCTCTCTCCCCTTGCCCTACCCCAGTAGGACTGTCTATTCTTTCGAGTCTGTTAGTCAGACACACCATTGTTCTGCAATTCTCACATTCCGATCACTTATCTGCACTACCAACATTGTTTCTCCTGCAGCTCTCTCCACCATCCCCCCATACAAATATTGCAATCAATGCTGCCCCCTCCACACTTCACATCCGTTCTGATGAAGAGTCATCTAGACTTCAAATGTTAGCTTGCTCTCTCTCCATTGATGCTGCTTATCCTCTTCATTCAACCTATGGACGACAATTACAGCTTAAAATGTATTTTGTAAACACTATTTCCAAAAATTCATTTCCTTCCTTACACACTAATAAACAGCTCAAGCCTGAGTTCATTCACAGTGAAAATCTGATTTCTGGATTGTTAAGCAAATCACTTTTTAAAAGTATTGATGATTTTTCAGGAATATTTAAATACTGTTGTGTAATTTGAAAGATTCTTGTCAAAACAGTGTTTAGCAAATTAACAAATATTGTACAGCTCTGGCATTTGGGGTGGCATGGTGCTGATTTCCAGCATTTTTTTGTTTTCAGTACAGATTCCAGCATCTGCTGTAATTTGCTCCTACATATACAAGATGTTGGTTTGATCTCAGTGGCAGTATTACTTCCAATTCTGAGTGCCAGATTATAGGAAGGATATGAACACATTAGAGAGATTGCAGAAGAGTCTTAAGAGAATATTTCATGGGACGAGACTCTTCAATTATGAAAAAGATTAGAGAAACTTTGAATATTTTCCTGAGAGAGAAGGCTAAGTGTGATTACATAAAAGTTCTCAAGATCATGAGGGATTTGGATGGGTAGAAATGGAGAAACTGTTCCCATTCATAAAGGGATTAAGAACCAGAGAGCACAGTTTCGAAGTGTTTTGTGAAAGAATCAAGTATGAGGTGTGAAAAATCTTTTTCATACAGTGAGTGGTTGTGGTATGGAATACATTGCCAGGAAATGTGAAGGAGACAGGTTCAATTGAGGCATTCAAGAAGGACTTAGATTTCAAAGGAATCGATGTGCAGGGTTCCAGGGAAAAAGGCAGGGGGCTGGTAATAATGCTCAGGGGATTGATGCTCACACAACAGGTCAAACGGCCACCTTCTGGATCATAACAATTCAGTGAAAAAAAAAATACCCTCATCATTCAACCTATGGACGACAATTACAGCTTAAAATGTATTTTGTAAACACTACTTCCAAAAATTCATTTCCTTCCATACACACTAATAAACAGCTCAAGCCTGAGTTCATTCACAGTGAAAATCTGATTTCTAGATTGTTAAGCAAATCACTTTTTCAGGAATATTTGAATACAGTTGCGCAATTTGAAAGGTTCTTGACAAGACAGTGTTTAGCAAATTAACAAATACTGTACAGCTCTGGCATTTGAGGTGACACGGTGGCACAGTGGTCGGCACTGCTGCCTCACAGCACCAGGGACCTGAGTTCAATTCCAGCCTTACATGTCCATCTGCGTGGAGTTTGCACATTCCGCCCGTGTCTGCGTGGGTTTCCTCCAGGTGCTCCAGTTTCCTCCCACATTCCAAAGATGTGCAGGCGAGGTGGATTGGCCATGCTAAATTGCCCCAAGTGTCAGAGATGTGTAGTTTAGGTGGGTTGTGGGGGGTTAGGTCTGGGTGGGATGCTCTGAGAGTCGGTGTGGACTTGTTGGGCCAAAGGGCCTGTTTCCACACTGTAGGGGATTCTATCATACTCTTTCCCAGATTATCACTGTGTCTTTTCATATAATTATACATCAACTTAGAACACATTTATAACCAAGTTTAGAATGTACTTGCTATGGGTATAAGTGACTAAAATGCAACAGAAGCATGAAATTCATAATAAATGTTTTGCAAAATCAACAAAAATGCTGCAACTTCCAACATTGTGATCTTTTTGGGGTACAAATATCAGTATTCTCTCTGATCTGTGAACCTGATACTCCGTATTTCACTGTCAACTGGATGCAAGGAGCCAGCATCATTTCAGAATTCAGGAGGTGAACTGAGCCCTTCTGTGCTGGAATGACTCCATTTTGCTACGCTAACACCTTTCCTGTAAACATTTTAAGCTCAATGCAGCAATATGATGTTACATTCTGCACTTAAATTTGGAGAGTTTTGAAAAATAGGGCCAAAATGTCAGAGTCGACACACCTAAATGAAAATTCAGTGACATAAATGTGCTGAAACTACACATAAGTACAAATCTGTAAGCTTATTCCCACAATGGGAAGTGTGAGATTCACCCCATAGAACTTTCACCTTGTCAGCACTGCTCAAGTATTGAAAGCACAGGGTTAACACAGCTGGCTGCACAGCAACAAAACAGATGGTCTGGATGTACTGTTAAGAATGTATTTCTTCTTGTGTGCTGTGCAAACATCTGCTGTCACTTAATTGGTGCAATTTATTACCTAGAGGTTATCCTTTCCTCTGAAGCTCTATTAATGATAGTCAACTTGGTGGAAAAGCCCCATATTTTGTCGTTTCTCCAGAGACACAGAATTTCAAAGATTAACCACGTGGCAGCCTTTGCCAAATGCTTGTTTTGAAGACCCAATACATCACAGCGCAAATGTGCTTATCATAGGCTTTTGATACCACCCAAGGTTTAGCCCATACCTAACAGCTGAAGGTCAGTCTCCAAGTGCACTGCTGACTGGAATAACAGCTCATCCCTATTTTCAACTGAAGACTCCGCCTCCAAATGATTTTCCAGCCACTGTGCATATTCTTCCTTACGCAGGACCTGAAATGAAGACAATGGTTTCAAAAGTTTAGAAGAAAAGCTAATCATGTTTCAAAATCGTTTGACTTATTTCTAAATCAAGGGGTGGCACAGTGGCTCTTGGACAGCATGGTGGCTCAGTGGTTAGCACTGCTGCCTACACCGCCAGGGACCTGGGTTTGATCCCACCCTCGGGTGACTGTCTGTGCAGAGTTTGTACGTTTTCTCTGCGTCTGTGTAGGTTTCTTCCGGGTGCTCTGGTTTCCTCCCACAGTCCAAAGATGTGTGGTTTAGGGGGATTGGCCATGCTAAATTGCCAATAGTCTCCAGGGATGTGTAGGTTAGGTGGATTAGCCATGTGAAATGCAGGGTTACTGAGAGGGGGTGGGCTGTTTATTTTGGAGGGTGTTATAGGCTGAATGGTCTGCTTCCACACTGTAGGGATTCTGTGATTCTTCCAGGTCACATGCTCATGAATGCTGATCATCACTAAGACTACAAATTTACACGACTGGTCAACATTCAACAAAACTCACCACAATCAAATGTAAAACACAGCAATTAAATAAAAATAAAGGCATTGCTATAAATACGGAGTTGGAAATGATCAGAATAATGGTAAGCCCCGATTACATTCCTGTCGCTGGGCCATTCTTTGGTCAGGGTGAATTAGAGCTCTACATGTGCTCTTCCTGCAGAGATAGAAATCTACAGAGAGGTTCAATTCCTACTTCAAATTGTAATTTCAGAGAATAGTGAGAGAGAGGGAACAGGATTTATGCCAACATTAACACAGGAAAAGTGGAACAGATACAGGGCACAAGAAAATCAGTTCATCTGTTTTTAGCCCCAAAATCTCATTTTGTAGTCATACTCCCTGAAATATTGATCTAATTCTCCTTCAGGTCTTTCCACACCATTCGCATGGACTTCTCGCAACATAGACAGGTTGAGGACAGTGCGGTCTTTATCGCTGAGGAAACGTATGCTCCTAATTATGACAGGACTTTGAGGGAACTTTCTGTCGCAGTTGGTGAGATGTTGAAGCAACGCAAGATTAGCTCCTGAAAACAGTCTGAAAATATCTTCCTTTAATGACAGCCAGGGATTGTCACTTCAGTTGTAGATTTCAACTGGTTCAACCGCATTGCAGTTGTTGGCATTCTTGCTTCAGGTTCAGAAGGTCATTGGACTCGAAACTCTAACTCTGCTTTTCTCTACAGATTTGAAGTACTCATCCAAATATTTGAATGAATACTTCAAATATCATAACATTCAAGGATATGGGATAAGTGCAGGAAATTGGGTTGTGTCAGTAGTTGTGAGGGTGTGTCAGTGCAGACCTGACGGGCTGAAGAGCCCTTTCTGTGCTGTATGATCTTAGAATCCATTCGGCCCATCAAGTCCACACCGACCCTCTGAAGAGCATTCCAACCAGACCCATGCCCCTATCCAATCCCTGTAACCTTGCATTTCCAATGGCTAACCCATCTAGCCTGTACATCCCTGAACACTATGGGACAATTTAGCATGGCCAATCCACCTAACCTGCGCATCTTTGGACTGTGGGAGGAAACCAGAGCACCTGGAGGAAACACATGCAGACATGGGAGAATGTACAAACTTCACAGACAGACAGTCACCTGAGGGTGGAATGGAAACCAGGCCCCTGGCGCTGTGAGACAGCAGAGCTAGCCACTGAGCCACTGTGGCATCCTGATGGTGCCAGACCTGCTGAGCTTCTCTGGCACTTTCTGTTTTTGTTAAAAAAAGAGTATTACAGGGCAGAGTAAGACCACATCTTGAAACTGTGTGCAGTTTTGGTTTCCTTATTTACAGGAAGGATGTTAATGCATTCAAGGTAATCCAGGAGAGGTTTACTAGACTGGTTACTGCAGTAGTTGAGTTGTTTTATGAGGATAGGGTACAGATTGGGCTTGTTTCCATTGGAGTTCAGAAGAGTGAGGGATGACTTGATTGAAGTTCATAAGATCCTGAATGGGCCTGATAAAGTCGACATGGCAAGGATGTTTCGTCTTGTGGGCCAGTCCAGCAGAACAATGTTTCATCCCAGAAGGTGTTGGAACTCTGCCTCAGGAATCGGTGGAGGTGGGGTTGGGGGTGGGAGGGGGGAGTCACTGAATGTTTTTAAGACAGAAGGAGTTAGGTGCAAATGGAAATAAACACTTCTGCATCACAGAAGTGTTACTCTCCACAGGGAGGCCATTTAGAACACTGTATCTGCACTGACTCATCAAATAGGGATTTAAATTCCACTAATCGCTGTGGTTGGATCTGAACCCACGACTCCAGAGCATTAGAATGGGTGTCTGGATTACTGGGTCAGTGAGAGTACAAATTGATCACCACGTCCCCAATTGTTAATTCTAAAGCTGCAGTGGATCAATTTTTGTTAAGCAAAGGTATGAAGGGACAAGGGCAAAGACAGAGATATATGGAGTTAAGTGACAAACCAGACATGATCTCAGTGAGGTGTGGAATAAGCTTAAGGGGCTATCTCTTCTGCCATATTCCTAGATGGTACGGTTGCGGCAGGTCATTATCAAATTGCTGTTTGTGGGAGATTGCTGTGCACAAATTTCCAACGTTACGAATGACCACACCTCAAAAAGTAGTCCATTGGCTGGAAAGCCCTGCAGTCAGGAAAGGCAATGCACAGACGTAATTTTTCTTTCTCTCACACTTTGCATTTGATGAAGACCTGGGGAGCTTGCCTCTTGCCCTGGCCAAACTTGATTTTGTCAAATCATCACAGAATCCTTATAATGTGGAAGCAGGCCATTTGGCCCATCAAGTCCACACTGACTCTCTGAAGAGCATCCAACCCAGATCCACACCACTCCTCAGCCCACCCTATGCCTGTAACATTGCATATCCCATTACTAATTCACCTAGCAAGCACATCCCTGGACACTGTGGGCAATTTAGCATGGCCAATCCACCTAACCTGCACACCTTTGGACTATGGGAGGAAACCGGAGCACCCGGAAGAAACCCATGCAGACACGGGAAGAATGTGCAAACTCCACACAGACAGTCGCCCAAGGGTGGAATCGAACCCAGGTCCCTGGCGTTGTGAGGAAGCAGTGCTAACCACTGAGCCAGCATGCTGCCCAAGGGCCACTGTGCCACCGTATCTGTCAACAAGTATGAGAAAGACAGATTGACTCAATGCAGGATGTGGGTCAGTTAGCTCAGTTGGGTGGATGGCTGGTTTGTCATTTGGTTGGTTTGCCATGCAGAGTGATGCCCAGAGTATGGGCTCAATTCCTGCACCAGCTGAAGTCACCATGAAAGTCCAGCCTTCTCCACCTTGCCCCTCATCTGAGGCATTGTGACCCTCAGGTTAAATTCATTACCAGTCATCACTCCCTTTAGCTAATGCAGAGCAGCCCCATCGTCTAGTGGGATTATGGAAACTTTACCTCTACCCCGAGGGACAGTGCTGTGTGGAAACTGTCTGCCCTATTTCCTACAAAAAAAAACAGTGACTATACTTTATCATGATTGTAACGAGGTCAGGCAGGCAGATCTCATAGAATATGAGTTCACTGACTGGACCAGATTAACAGTCCCAATCTGGGAGCCCTGGCTGACAGATATAAACAGGAGTTTCAGAGGTTCTGTTCACTCTGAGAGCTGGCTCTTGAGGGAGCTGGATCAGTGTCAAGGACTCTCCACGTGTAGATAAAGTTGATGGGATACCAGCCTCTGTAGAGTTATTTCAGGAACAAACTCAGAATTATTTTTACTCAAACTTGCAATATGGGTATTGCTGCCAAGACCAGTACTTACTGCCTTACTCTAATTACCCTGAAGGGGGTGGTGATGAGTTGCCTTATGGACCTGCTGCGGTCCCTGGGGCTGAGGTACAAC